TTTTGGGTGTTGTGTTGGGGTTGTGAAGTGTATTTTAGCCAGGGGACGGATGGAATAAAGGGAGGGTTTTATTTGATTAATAAAAGGCTTAAAAGAAGGAAAATAACAACAAACAAAAGGTTTTGGTTTGCACACTCTTATTTTCAGTCAGGGGCTAAAATAAGAATAATAAAAACTTTATTTTGAAATGAAGTTGGGTTGGACGGAGTGGGAGTTAGTCTGCGGAACCCTTGGGTCCGAAGTTATTCTGGTCGCTCGGGTTGAAGGACTCGGAATTCTCACTAAAACGGATCATAATGTTTGAATGTAAGTCCTTTGGTTTTTGCGAGGGTGTGGGACATGGGGGAGGGCATGATAGGGCCAGGACCGGATATAACAATAATAAGCCCAAAACTACATTTTTTTCCCTTACCCTTCCTCCCTTCATCCCAGGCCAAATACCCCAGCCCAAAACCATGCGATTATCACTTCCTTACACCTCAACTTGGCTAAACAAACAGCCACAAAAATCCAAGACATTTTGACCCACACCCACACCCTTCAACCCCCCTTTGCTTCCCCCATATCCTGCCTAGAAAATGCATCCAAATAGCCAACCATCCTACCTTTTTCTCCTGCCCAAAAACAGCCCCACCAAAGCCAATCAAGTTGTGAATTATATTCACATATTCCATCCTACCATTTATGGCCAAGAATCCTACCCTACAAGTACAATCATCCCTGTGTTTTTCCCCACCAAAGGAACATCAACAAGTGGCCATTAATTCCTTTAGTTTGTGTGAATAAGAGACTTGGTAGTCTCCTGTTTCTATGCATATATAAGCTCATCCCTGAGCATTGTAAACACACATTGTATTCCTATTTTTCAACTTAGTAATACACTTGTTTGTGTGTGCTATTTTAAATTCCTAAATCTATATCTTAATAGTGGTTCTCTTGAGTGTGAGTTTTAAGTTCTAGTTATTTAGATAAGTGTGTCATATCTTATTTAAATATTAGACTCAACCCCAAATTAAGATAAGAGTGTGTAATATCTCTTAACCCCAACTTGGTAATATCTATCCCTGAATTTCTCCCACCCCATATCCCTCCATTTCTCCCTTTAACCTCCTTCTTTTTTCCTCAATTAAAACCCAAAACACCCTACCGTTCCTTCCCATAACTCCTCTACATATCCCAACCATATTCCTCCCATATTGAAACTTCGGGTAACCTTGATAATCGATTATCCTTCACTGATAATCGACTATCCAACACTCCTGAACCTCTTTGGCAGAATCAGAAAATCAATATAATCGATTATCAACTATTGATAATCGAATATCCTCCCCCTCTGAATCCTCTTGGCCTAAACCACACAATCCCACAATCGATTATCACTAAAGTGACAATCGACTATGCACCCTTCCTGAAACTCCTAAAATCTTCCCCGAGAAACTGACCCACCTGTTAGTTGATTATCATACCTGAATAATTGATTATCCCTCTCTCGTGCAATTTAAGAAGCTTTGTTCTTAAACTTAAGCCTAATCCCGGAGTTCGGGTATAACAATGCTGATAGTTTGAGAGGAGTGAGACATGCTTGAAGTGGGAGAATGAAGGTAGGTAAGTAGAAAGTGGAGAAGGAGGGTGGATTTGGAGGTGGTGTTTTGGGTTGGTTGTGGCTGAAAATAACCAAGTGAGGGAGTAAGGATTATGGAAGTGTATTTGGCCCTTAGGGATGTTGAAACAATGAACTTTGATACCAGATGTTATATTCGAACCGGGGGTCTTATCATGTAAGTAATTTGAGGGCGGAAATATGGAGAAATTGGAAGCAAAACATGACAGCCTTTTAACTTCAGGAGCTTGTGATAGTCGATTATCTCAAGTTGATAATTGAGTATTTGTATTTTACTATCAAGCCAAGAAATTTCATGAGGGGCAGATAGGCGACTGATAGAACGGTGATAATAGATTGTTAGAGGCTGCAGGATTTCAGGATGAAGTGATAATCGATTGTCGTAAAAGGACAATCGACTATTGAAGACTGCAGGTGTTTCAACGGTGACTCATAATCAATTGTCAATCAAGATAATTGATTATTTGGCAGAATTCTGGGCAGGAAGAAGGGTGTTTTGTGGGGAAATGGCTTGGAAATATATGAAGATGATAAAGGAGTTCTTTTGGTAATTTTAATATGAGGAAAGAAAGGAGATTAAGGATAGAAATGGTGGGGAGAGAAATGGGTAGAAAATAATGATGGATAAACCAAGTTGGTGTTTAAGAGATATTACACACTCTTATCCTAACTTGGGGTTGAATCTAGAAATTAATTAAGATATGACACATTTAATCAAATATTTAGAACCTAAAACTCACACTTAAGATAACCACTCTTAAGATATAGAATTAGGAATTTGGCTAAAATATCATCACACTATTTTATGAATACCCAAAGAGTAAAAGGTTTTTCAATATTCAAAGATGTGTAACAATGGCCATAGGGCCTGAGTTATATAGGGAGAGTGGAAGGGGAAAATACATAATACATTGAATGTGAACATGAGGAAGCTTCCTAGCAACATCCACTTCCAAAGCATGGGGTAACCTTCATTAAATCTTGTCTCCAAAGTGGAGAAAGATCATGAATGGGGCTGGGGTTGTGGGGTTTTGGGTTTTAAGTTTGTAGTGGTTGTTTCCTGGGTTTTGTGGCTATTATTTGGGTAAAAATGAGGGGTTGTTTTTGGCCAATAAAAGGGGACAGGGCAGGGTAATATTAGAGGTGGTTTTGGACATATGGGTTTGGGTTATTGTGAGGGAAACATGGGGCAGGAATGAGTGGCTAGTGGTGGGTTAGGGTTTTGGCCCTTTGTGGGTGTTTATGTTGGGATTGTGAGGTTTAATTGGCCAGGAAATAAAGGAAGGAGAGAGGGTTTTATTTGTTTATTGGAAAGGCTTAAAAGAAGGAAAATAACAACAAACAAAAGGTTTTGGTTTACGCATTCTTATTTTTGGCCAGGGGCTAAAATAAGAGTAGGAAAAACTTTATTGTGAAAAAGGAAATGTTTTGATGTTCAGGGTTGGGTGGGGTGTTGGTTCAGCCTAGGTGGGGTGTAGGGCAACCACGGTGTCGGTCTGGGCTTTAAGATAGGGCAACGTAGTGAATTTAACCCAAATAATGTTGCCACACTTCGGCCTTATTCTCCTGATCTGCCTTTCCTTTTGTGGCCTACGGAAGGTCTTCGTGGATGCTCCCGAATATCTAACAGCTTATTTCTGTTGTCAAGCAATGAAATCCATTACTCTACTCGGTAGTAGAAGAAATGATAGGTCAAACCTATTCAAGGAGGGCTTCCCGGGTGGATCGAATCCACTCAGATAAGCCAACTGAGACACAGGCCCGGACCTGGCACGCTGGTTACTACACCGGTCTCACTTAGTATAGTAAAAAATAAACCCGGAAGAGGGGCCCCGAATAAGGGTATGCCTGCAAGAAGGCTGGACCTCGAAGAGGGTTCGAACCGTACTTACACGGGCTCATGAGGTTTGACCGGTATCGGGGAGTCAGTCGAAACCGTCAAACTGATTGGGGACTAAAATATGCCCATTAAAAGAAATAGAAAAGGAACGTTCACCGCAATGCATCCTACTCTGACCGGATCAGATTCCCCTCTTCTCAGGGAAGACTTGAACTGGAAGAGGGAGCCCTGGAAGAAGGGTGCATTTTGGACCTTATAGGGTTCGAAACCATTCGACAAGGTCAAATATCTAGTATTCTTACCGGTTAAGGATACTTCAAGAAACTACTAGGTTACAGGTGCTACCACCTACAACCTACCAATAACAAAAAAGAGAATACCCCGGTAGGGTATTAATTTTAAAGAATTTCAAAAGTTCTTCAAGGTGATTTTGTCAACCGATCAGATCATGTAGAGCAGAACTACCAGTTATTGTTATTAGTTCGTGGGGTGCAGCGGATAACACCAAACACAAGTTATGCAAACAAAACAATCAACTATGTTGTAGAGAAGATGTTGCAGCACTGTCACAGTAACAGATGACTGACAGAGTGCTATAACACATTCTCTGTCACAAGCACACACGTAGAATATAAAGTAAAAACAGCAAGCAAGACACCAGAATTGGTCACGCAGTTCGGAGCAAATTCTCCTACGTCTGCAAGGCCCACGTCCGTGCAATAGCCCTTCCACTAAATCACCGTAAGAATTACACAATCAATCACAAGAGAACCTTCTAATGTATTGATTTGTCTACTTACGAATGACTTGACGACAAACTCGGTTTGCGTCTATCTCCACGGCTTGTTACACCTTCTCAAATATCTTCTTCAAGGACGTAGATTCCAATACACCTTCAAATAAAGACTCTCCTTGATCTACAAAAATATGCAGGCTGTTCAGAAGCTCATAACTCGAGATTGAACCGTTGAAAATCGATCTCCACCGTTCAGATTGAAGCTCCACGAGTCCTTAGACTCCTCCTAATGTTTCCGCACGATCGGACAAGATTTGGTACTCCAACCATTGTGAAAACCAGGGCTGTGTTTTCTGCAAAAAATCAGCAACAATGTGTAGATTGTAACTTCAATAACAGAAGATCCGTAACTCCGATTGACGTGAAATTTGAACACGTTTAAGCCCTATGTGTTGGGAACACTCTCTGAAAATTTCAGCAAACTCCAACGGTCGGATCAGCGGCGATGATCAAATCCGTGCGGGCTGTCAAGAAACTTTACAGTCTCAAAATCTGCACCTTGTTTTTTCTTTTGATCGGATTTGCTTCAGGTTTTTTGTAGTTTTGCACGTCCAAAAACCTAAGGGAGGGTGAAGATAATATATAAGGCATATTAACCTTGTTAGAGTGTGCTTAGGAGTCTCACCCATGCCTTCCTCCTCAAGAATAGTAAACCAAGTAGGATTAGACTTCTTTCTTCAAGCTCTTTCCTCTTTCTCTTTCTTCACATGCTAGAACTCTAAGTCTAAATAAAATATCTAAAATAATTCTAGGTAAATCTATTCGTTTGTCAAAAAATAATGCCAACACAATATGGAACTAACAATCTCCCCCTTTGGCAATTTTTTGACAAAAACGAATCTCAGCTGTTTTGAACCTCTTCTCCCCCCTTTTTTGCATAAAAAATGCCAAAGGTTTTATTAAGAATATTTGGGCAAAAAGAGAAGAGTAACATTCAAGCGAGCTTGAGCATTACAATAATGAACATAAAAATAGACCTAGACTTTGTCACATCAACCTTTGCCACACTTGAGCGACTCCCCCTCTGAAGATGCATCTGAAAAAGTAACAATCTGCAAAAATAAAGACATTTATGCAACCAGCAAAAACATCTATGCTCTAAGGTATTCCACGCTGTAGATGAAACACCTCTCAGAGCATCCTCTAAATCAGGTAGAGATTGGTGTGCACAGACCCAGGTGGGATCTGAGTATACCAAACCGATTCCCATCAAATGCTCTTTTACACATGCCCAATGCCCGTGTTTTCATAGTCATAAACTTCACACTCTCATGGCTAGGAGGTGTCACTTCATCACACTTATGAGATGATTCAGCACTCTTAGCAGCTCAACAATCTATCTTCTTTTTTTCTTGATGCAAGCTTGCACTACTAACATGGCATTGATCAGAAGCAACATCTTTCACACAAGGATTATCACCTATTTTGTACTGATTCTTAGGTACCCAAATCATCCTTGTTGTCACATTCTTTTTTCTATATCTTTGCTCTTTAAAAATCTTGCATTTCCTCTGAATGTGTCCCCTTTTTCCACAGCAAAAACAAACATAATTAGCATAGACATTAGTATAAGAATACCTTTTAGGTTTAGCATAATGATCCTTGTGTCTTCTCATACTAGATTGTGTCACAACTCTTTGCCTTTTTGCATAGGGTGCTGCATAAATTGTCCCAGCAGAAGCTTCATGAGATGCTTCAGCGAGTTTGGCAGAAGATGTTCCAGCAGATGCAGCAGCTTCTGTTTTCCTTCCTTGTGGGACTTTTTGAGCAATTTCCTTTCTTCGATCAACAAACAAGTCAAGTGGGGTCTTATTACTTTCGGAACCTGAAAATCCGAGACCCGTCTTGTCTCCATAAAATTTTGAAACGTTCACTTGTTCCTCAATAGCTTTTGCTCCAGCACTTCTCATCCACTTGTGAAAGTTTTTGAGTTGATTTAATTCATACTTGAGATCTGATTGTTTCCCTTCTAAGTCTTCAATCTTCTTTTCTAGTTCTGAAATACTCTCCTTTAGTCTATTGCGCTCGGCAACAAGCTGATGATTCTCCAGGACAGTTTTATGGTTGGCTTGAACAAGTTCTCCCCACTTCCTTTGGAGAATAGCTAGCTCTTCTGCTGTGTCAGCCTCTATGTCATCTTCTGTATCATCCTCTGTTGTAACTTTACCTTTATATCTCTGTAACTCTTTGATTAGTTGTTCCACATCGCATTTTGATTCAGCAAGTTCACGTTTGAGGCTATCATTTTCCAAACATTTTTTCTTGTTGACCCGTAGAGACTCTTGAAATTTTTCTTCAACAATTACAAGCATCTCCTTTGGTTCCACGTCACTATCAGAGTCACCGTCAACACTATGGAAAGTTGGAAAAGCACAGCATGTTCCAGCACTGTCTTTAACACACTGCTTCTCTTTTTCAACAAGGATGACATGCTGCTTTTTACGTCGTAGATCTTCATGCATCTCCAACTCAATGGTTTCTAAGTTCCCCATCAGTTCATCAAGAGACATAGCATTGAGAGATTGTGTTTGTCTAATAGCTTTGACATCCATGGAGTATTTTTCTGGAAGAGAACGTAGCACTTTCAACACCAGTTTGTTTTCTGTAATTGGTTCACCAAGCCTTTCGGCTTCATTTGTCAACTCTCTAACTCACCCATGAAAATTTGTGATAGACTCAGTATCCTCCATCTTAAGATTTTCAATTTTAGACATCACGACATGAAGTTTGGCTGTCTTGACTGTTGTGGTACCTTCATGAGTAATAAGCAAAATGTCTCAAGCTCTCTTGGCCTTTGTGCAAGTTGAGATAAGACGAAACTGATTTCTGTCAACCGCTCCAAAGATTGCATTCAAAGCCTGATCATTCGATTCTGCAGCATCCTTTTCTTTCTTGCTAAATCTTTCATAAGGTTTCTGAATTAGTTCTCCATCAGCATTCATCATAGTAGGAGCTGACCATCCAACCTCTATGCTTCTCCAAACCTGTCCACCAAGAGACTTGAGAAAGGCTCTCATTCGACACTTCCAAAAAGTATAATCATGGCCACAAAAATAGTGGAGGTCTAAAAACATTAGCACCTTCTTGAATATCTCCCATGGTGATAGATCAATCAAGCTAATAAATTAAGCTTGCCAAGGTCCGATACCAATTGTAAGTTCGTGGGGTGCAGCGGATAACACCAAACACAAGTTATGCAAACAAAACAATCAACTATGTTGTAGAGAAGATGCTGCAGCACTGTCACAGTAACAGATGACTGACAGAGTGCTATAACACCTTCTCTATCACAAGCACACACGTAGAATATAAAGTAAAAACAGCAAGCAAGACACTAGAATTGTTCACGCAGTTCGGAGCAAATTCTCCTACGTCTGCAAGGCCCACGTCCGTGTAATAGCCCTTCCACTAAATCACCGTAAGAATTACACAATCAATCACAAGAGAACCTTCTAATGTATTGATTTGTCTACTTACGAATGACTTGACGACAAAATCGGTTTGCGTCTATCTCCACGGCTTGTTACACCTTCTCAAAAATCTTCTTCAAGGACGTAGATTCCAATACACCTTCAAATAAAGACTCTCCTTGATCTACAAAAATATGCAGGCTGTTCAGAAGCTCATAACTCGAGATTGAACCGTTGAAATTCGATCTCCACCGTTCAGATTGAAGCTCCACGAGTCCTTAGACTCCTCCTAAAGTGTCAGCACGATCGGACAAGATTTGGTACTCCAACCATTGAGAAAACCAGGACTGTGTTTTTTGCAAAAAATCAGCAACAATGTGTAGATTGTAACTTCGATAACAGAAGATCCGTAACTCCAATTGACGTGACATTTGAACACGTTTAAGCCCTATGTGTTGGGAACACTCTCTGAAAATGTCAGCAAAATCCAATGGTCGGATCAGCGGCGATGATCAAATCCGTGCGGGCTGTCCAGAAAATTTACAGTCTCAAAATCTGCACCTTGTTTTTTCTTTTGATCGGATTTGCTTCAGGTTTTTTGTAGTTTTGCACGTCCAAAAACCTAAGGGAGGGTGTAGATAATATATAGAGCATATTAACCTTGTTAGAGTGTGTTAGTTCCATGGTGTTGGCTAATCTTTTGGCAAAATAGAATCCCATATGTGATAGGTGTTTTACTAGGTAGAAACCTCTATTTGTTAGGAGAGGTTTATTTTATTTAGACTTCTAGAGCTGCTGCAGTTTTCGAGGTTGACGTAGAAGATGCTACAACACGATGCTGCAACACAGTGTGCGGGATCAGAGGTCCGAGCACAAAATTTTAAGCTGCAATCTGAATTAGAGACCTATTGGGATTGTGATTACATGATAATAACTCCATCTGTACATGCTAAGGAATCCCAACTCTTTAGGCTACTTGTGGATCAAGATTAAGGAAGTAGAGTTCAAGCCAACTTCTACTATCTTATTCCTACTAGGATTGTGTTAAGAGAGGCCTATAAAAATACAGCAGGTCCCTGGGAATTACTGGGAGCGATTGAGAAGGAAAACAACGAATATACGCTGATGTAGTGCATTCCCGTCGCGTCCCGGAGCTTCCCATGCGTGAAGAAGGTTGCGATCTACATAAAGGAGGAGATCTTCAACGCCAAACAGATCGTGACGTCCAAGAGATGAATTAGAGCTGAACAAGTGGGCTGCTAACACGTTTGTCCTCGTGATCTCGGTGGAGATGTGATAGCCAAACCGGATCTGAACAGAGTTCGGGTTAGAAATCCTAGATTAGAAGTTTTGTCATAACAATTCGGAGAAGTGTGTCTCATCATGTTGTTATGTACCGGTGTAAGTTGCATCTAGTGATTTAGTGGAGGGCTATTACACGGACGTGGGCCCCGCAGACTAGGAGAATTTGCTTCGAACTGCGTAAACATATATGGTGTCATTTTTACGCATTTTTATACTTACAGCATTCTGCCCAGTAGGTGCTGTAACGCCCTCTGCATCATCTGCTTCTGTGTGTGCTTGTGACAGAGAAGTGTTATAGCACACTGTCCGTCATCTGTTACTGTGACAGTGCTGCAGAATCTTCTCTACAGCATAGTTGGTTGATTTGTTTGCATAGTTTTCAAATGGTGATTTCCGCTGCGCCCCCACGAACTTTCAATTGGCATCGGAGCCGGTTAAGCTTAAGTTATTAGCTAGATCTTTGGGTGGTTCGTTGCAAACTTTCATGATGATCTCTTAAAGAGTTAGCACACTTTTTTGAAGCAAGATGTGGTATTGATGCAAATCCTGAGGGGGAGTAAATTACAGAAAAGGATGAAGCTCCAGCAGATTCAAACGGGAAGCACGTGCATGGTTCATAATGGTAGTTTTTTTTATTTTGCGCTTCTTATTGTTGTATGCTCTTAAAAGAACTTGGTATTACTTTTCTTTTTTACCCTTAATGAGATTGGCATATTTTGTGTCAAAAAGGGGGAGAAAAGGCTTAGTTCTTAAAAGATGTTTTAATCTTTTATGCGCATAGTGCACGATGTATTTTGCCAAAAAATTGCCAAAGGGGGAGATTGTTAGTTCCATGGTATTGGCTAATCTTTTGGCAAAATAGAATCCCATATGTGATAGGTGTTTTACTAGGTAGAAACCTCTATTTGTTAGGAGAGGTTTATTTTATTTAGACTTCTAGAGCTGCTGCAGTTTTCGAGGTTCACGTAGAAGATGCTACAGCACGATGCTACAACACAGTGTGCGGGATCAGAGGTCTGAGCACGAAATTTTAAGCTGCAAACTGAATTTGAAACCTATTGGGATTGTGATTACATGATAATAACTCCAGCTGTACATGCTAAGGAACCCCAACTCTTTAGGCTACTTGTGGATCAAGATTAAGGAAGTAGAGTTCAAGCCAACTTCTACTATCCTATTCCTACTAGGATTGTGTTAAGAGAGGCCTATAAAAATACAGCAGGTCCCTGGGAATTACTGGGAGCGATTGAGAAGGAAAACAACGAATATACGCTGATGTAGTGCATTCCCGTCGCGTCCCGGAGCTTCCCATGCGTGAAGAAGGTTGCGATCTACATAAAGGAGGAGATCTTCAACGCCAAACAGATCGTGACGTCCANCTGTACATGCTAAGGAATCCCAACTCTTTAGGCTACTTGTGGATCAAGATTAAGGAAGTAGAGTTCAAGCCAACTTCTACTATCCTATTCCTACTAGGATTGTGTTAAGAGAGGCCTATAAAAATACAGCAGGTCCCTGGGAATTACTGGGAGCGATTGAGAAGGAAAACAACGAATATACGCTGATGTAGTGCATTCCCGTCGCGTCCCGGAGCTTCCCATGCGTGAAGAAGGTTGCGATCTACATAAAGGAGGAGATCTTCAACGCCAAACAGATCGTGACGTCCAGGAGATGAATTAGAGCTGAACAAGTGTGCTGCCAACACGTTTGTCCTCGTGATCTCGGTGGAGATGTGATAGCCAAACCGGATCTGAACAGAGTTTGGGTTAGAAATCCTAGATTAGAAGTTTTGTCGTAACAATTCGGAGAAGTGTGTCTCATCATGTTGTTATTAACCGGTGTAACTTGCATCTAATGATTTAGTGAAGGGCTATTACACGGACGTGGGCCCCGCAGACTAGGAGAATTTGCTCCGAACTGCGTAAACATATATGGTGTCATTTTTATGCATTTTTATACTTACAGCATTCTGCCCAGTAGGTGCTGTAACGCCCTCTGCATCATCTGCTTCTGTGTGTGCTTGTGACAGAGAAGTGTTATAGCACACTGTCCGTCATCTGTTACTGTCTCTCTACAGCATAGTTGGTTGATTTGTTTGCATAGTTTTCAATTGGTGATTTCCGTTGCGCCCTTACGAACTTTCAGAGTGTGCTTAGGAGTCTCACCCATGCCTTCCTCCTCAAGAATAGTAAACCAATTAGGATTAGACTTTTTTCTTCAAGCTCTTTCCTCTTTCTCTTTCTTCACATGCTAGAACTCTAAGTCTAAATAAAATATCTAAAATAATTCTAGGTAAATCTATTCATTTGTCAAAAAATAATGTCAACACAATATGGAACTAACAATTGCAAGTTGATCATTAGAAAGTATTCAAAGCAAAAGTTGAAGTTCTACCGGCAGAGGCTAATCCGATTCAAAAAGAAGATATATATCCAAATTTAACAAACTATATACTTTTGATCACCATTTTATGAGACCTATCCGAAAACCTAATTTTTATTTAAAACAGATAATTTTACAAATAATTTATATTTTTGAGTAAATAAATTTAATATTTATTTTTATTAAAATAACGGCTAACTACTAAGCCGGTTTTCGGGTCGTTACACGACCTCTTTCCCCGATTCACACAACCAAACTCTTGTACACTCACACACACTTCTTTAATACAAAGACACGACTTTATAAAAAGACTTTGTATTATATAGAGAAATGTACAAGAGATATTACAATTACATGTGTAGCACACTTCACTTTTTGTATTAGGAATACCTCTCTACACCTCACTCACAAGCACTCTCAAGAAGCCTTCTTGGTTCTTCACTCTCTTCTTCCTCCACATTCATTGCCAAATGAGGCATCCACAGCCCTATGTATACTCCTCACCAAGGCTAGGCTTCTCTAGAATGTTCCACACATCTCTTTATCTCTAGAATCTTCTAGAGAGTCTCCACATGCTTCCATAATGTTCTAGAAGAATCTAGAGGACTCCACATAATTCTAGAATATTCTAGAAGACACTACATTCTTCCACACGCTTCTAGAGACTTTCACACTTCTCTAGAAAGCTCTAGAATATTCTAGAAACTTTTACACTATTCTACACATTTCTAGAGACTTCTACACTTCTCTAAAAAATTTCACAACATTCTAGAGAATTCTACACATCTCCATAAACTTCTAAAATTCTGTAGAATCTTCTCTCTCACACTCCTTTGGAAATATTGAATTAATATCCTAACAATTTCATGCAATTTATCCATTTTATATTAGTTGTTTTATTTCTCGATGCATTTAATTGTTATAATATAAAAAAACAAAAAAAACTATTAATCCAAAACGGAAAAACAATATTAATAACGAAAGAAAAAAGATTAAACCTGAAAACATAACAAAATAATGTTTTATTATTTATATTATTATTTTATAAAAGATAGAATTTAATTTGAATAGAAATAGGTAAATATATAAAAATAAAAGTGTAATTATAATAATTACAATGGATGTGAGGCACTATATGTGTAAAGTGAGTGAAATGGTGAGTGCTTTCATCGCTGATGTGATGAGTCACCATTGATTTGGAGTGATCAGTGGTGGAGTGAAAGAGATGAGTACCTATATCATACATCCGGATGTACGGTATTTCCCGTACATCCGCGTGAATATTCATTATCGAGCCATTGAATACTCAATTTCGACTAACAAAATACTCATTTTTGAGTAACTAAATCCTCATTTTCGAGCATAACTAAATTTTAGACAAATGAGTACTCAGTTGCTCAAGAATGAGCATTCACTTATTCAAAAAATGTGTATTCAGTTACTCGTAAATGAGCTCTCGCTGTGAATGTGCAGAAAACACCGTACAACTGGTTGTACAGTACATATTGCGGCATCTAAAGATGATAAGGTATATGGTACAACCGGATGTACGGTACATCCGGGTAGTACTCATTCTGAAGTAGATTAGTACTCATTCTTGCACAAATATAATTAGCGTGGTACTCATTCTAAAATAATGCAGTTTTCATTTTTACAAATTGGTTCCATATAATTATAATATTTAGGGGTATTCAAAAATATCCGATCCAAAATATCCGTCCACAATCCAGGCCGATCCGATCTGAAAAATGGATATCCGATCTGATATTTTAGCTTTCGGATATTTCGGATCGGATACCCGAGAAAAATCGGATCGGATATGGATTCAATTTCTGAAATTTTTTGGATAATCGGATATCCGATTTTTTTTTGCTATATGTTTTTGGAATTTTATGGATATATATTATGACTATATGTTTAAATGTAATTTTATGTTGATTTTGGAACTCAACCATTTTTTTGGACTTTTTACATTAGCATTTTAGAATCTTTTGTTTTAATAGTGTTTTTTTGTTTGTTTAGGCAAAATTACCAAAGTTATTCTCAAATTAAATTTGGTATCATTTTTTTATTAGGCCATTACCTAGTGGTGAAATTTTTCTTTTAGTAAATCTATATTGAATTTGATATTTTAGGTTGATTTTGCTATTTTACCTTTTTTTTGTAAATTTTGGCTAAAAACTCAACTTCTCGAATATTTTCGGATTGGATATGGAATGAGTTTTACATGATCCAAAATTTTCGGATATCCGAATTTTTGGATCGGACAATCCGATTGAACACCCCTAATAATATTCATCTACAAATAATGCGGTGTTCATTGTAAAACAAAATAATACTCATTCTCAAATAACTTAATGTTCATTCTCATGTAAAATAAATTGTATACCATAAATAATTTCTTAATTATATCCAAAATTAGGTAGAACCGGATGTATAATATAATTTGTGAGGCTTACAAGTTGAGTTAAGTAGTTAACCAACAAAAAGGGCTTTTGTTAGTCATGAGATATGTTTGATACAGCCAAAAAAAGAGCCCGCCCTTGTTCTATCCGGAATGCGTTGGAGGATCCCATGCTCTGCGTCTCCCTCTCATCCACCATATCTCCAGTCCTACCTTAGGTACACTTTTCCTGGACATCCGCTGCGGAGATTTGGATGCATGGAGCTTCGTTTCTCTTCATCCCCACTTTTGATTCCATTCCTCAATTTTAATGCATGAGATTTTTTGTCGTTTGGATTAGGAAAAAACATGTCTTCCCTTCTCCTCTCATCCTCATGCTTCTCTCTTCGCAATTCCGAAGTTTCATCTCCGCCCTCCCCTGTAAAGAAACCCCAACTCAATCCCTGTGAAAAATCCCATTTCTTTCCACCTTTTCCTACATATTATTTTTCATTTTTCGTTTATTGGAACAAAATTTCTTATTCTATGTCGACCGGCGGCAAAGATGCCATCGCTTGTAGAGCTTCGTCGTCGGCGTCTCCCTCTCTCCGGCGAATCTCCGAAGAGGGAAGTGGGCACCAATTTCGCAGCGCAAATGAAGGAGATGAGGATGACGATTCCGATGAGGAAGAGCATGAAGGAGTAATAGCTCATGATGTAGATATGGAGGAAGATATTAGTCCCACTTCTGTTCTGTCTCATAGGTGGGATGTGTTGGGCCTTGGCCAAGCTATGGTGATTTTCTATCCCTCTATTGTTTCTCATATTCATTACATCCCATTGCAAGGTGAAAATTAGGTCAAATAGATTAAGATATTGTTGATACTTGTTAATTTGGCATAACTCTACCCCAAAGCGAAGCTAGAGGTTTTCAGTTTTCCAAACTTTATAAACTAGATTATGGCCCCATAACCCATGGACTTGGGATACTTAACAATATTCATAATCTTTCTAAGAAACTAGTCATAATTGGTTTTGATTTGCATTCTCTAATGTAAAACCAACCACACGAAAATAACTTTTCATGCCATTTCCCCCATATCATTTTCCAATATCCGAAAATGCCCTAAGCAGTCATATCTTTTCCCCTTGGGAGATGGTAGGTTGATTTCTCAGGCATGGTTGATGAAAACTTTCTGGACAGACTTGGATTGGAAAAGGGGACAAGAAAGGTTGTGAATCACGAGGAGAGGGGTAAGATTCTGCGCGCAATGGACGGGTGCAGTTACAAGGCTGCTGCTGGTGGTTCCCTTTCCAATAGTCTCGTGGTGTTGGCCAGGCTCGGCCTTCAACCTATTGGGGGCCAGTCTTTGAAAATAGCTATGGCAGGCAGTGTTGGAAGTGATCCACTTGGCGGGTTCTACAGGTTCCCCCTCCCCCTCAAGTTATCACTTATCTTTAAAAAAATAAGTAATGAGTTTATATGCTATACGGTATAGATCCAAACTGAGGCGAGCAAATGTGCGTTTCTTGTCCACACCCGTGAAAGATGGAACAACAGGAACAGTTATAGTTCTTACCACACCAGATGCTCAGCGCACAATGCTTGCACATCAGGTAACTTACTCTATTGACTCAATTTTATAGTTTCACTGCTTTGGCTTTAAGAGAAATTTCTTTTTAATATATACACATGTAAAAGGTTGTTTTTAATAGGCTTGATTACCAAAAAGTTCCTCAACTTTCAACTTTTTCATTACTCTAGCACACACACAAGTGACACAACTTACGCATAAATACACATGTTCCCCAATTTTTTTAACTAAAATACTCCATCCGTGAAAAAAGGTACTTTTAGTAAGCTTTTTTTGTCCTTAAAAAGAGTTCTATCTGTTCAAAAGAATCTATTATTATCATATCTTATGTTTTCCAAACAAGTTTAATGTTAATTTATAGTTAAACCAACAAATAAATTTGAAAGTACAGTTTATATTTGATTAAATACAGTAGTTGTACGTGGAATGTAAAGTTGTAAAAAAAACTCTTTTTAGGGATTATCTTCCAACCTCTTGTGTTGGTTTATGTGGCCACAGCTAAATTAGAAATGAAAATTCTTGGGCAAGTGTCTAACTCAAAGATGCAGGAGAAAAATAAAAAATGTTCTATCACATTAACTTCTCTGGGTGAATTGGATCAAGGGATTTGATTAAAATTTTATGGTTCTGCTAAATCTTCTTTTAAAACTAAAACAGTCATAAAAAACTTTAATTTAGAAAACACAACGTGAAATCTGAACTCTAGCCAAAGAGAATTTAGTTACCAATTTGGAAGAATGTGCTAATACTATGTATGCAGTAATTTATGTTCCAGATTTGTGAAAAATTCTTGGGCAAGTGTCTAACTCAAAGATGCAGGAGAAAAATAAAAAAATGTTCTATCAAATTAACTTCTCTGGGTGAATTGGATCAAGGGATTTGATTAAAATTTTCTGGTTCTGCTAAATCTTCTTTTAAAACTGAAACAGATAAAAAACTTAAATTTAGAAAACATAACATGAAATCTGAACTCTAGCCAAAGAGAATTTAGTTACCAATTTGGAAGAATGTGCATTACTATGTATGCAGTAATTTATATGCTAGATTTGTGAAAGAGTTGAGAGTTTGGAATTTTTGGTAATTCAACCAATCTAGTATGTGAACTTAAAAAAGTGCCATGCCATTAACCAATTGCCTTACCGCATTCCTGTTTTTTGTCTAGAACTTTTTATGCAATTGTCATTTTTCTTTCTCGTTGCTAGGAAGTTCCCCAATCTTTGATGTTGTTTTTCTTTTATGTTCGTCTACAGCAGAACCACAAAACTTTTTAAATTTAACAAATTCACTAATTAATATATTCCCTCCCATATTATTGTTCTACTTCATTCGGCTGCCCATTTTGTTTGGAGTGACCTTATGTAAACTTGTTTTTACCTAGGTTCAGTAAAAACTACTTGAACCTAGGTACATTAACAAAACTGGTGTCTGGATCATTATTAAGTTAACATAGTTGAATGTAACAAAAGTTGTTTGATGAAGGTTCTCAAACTCATTAAATACATTTATACTCCTTCCAAAACATCTGTGAAAACAATATTAGATAAGTGTTCATTCAATTTCAGAGACACGGATCAAGGAACAAAAGTTTCCAATGTATGTGGCTGCAATCAAATCACCCATCAATGAAATAAACATAAAAATACTACCACTGAGCGTAAAACAAATCAAATAACAGACAACGAAGTGCCAATCTCCAAGGTATAATGGTCAAGGATTTGGAACCCTGCTCTTCTTGGAAAGCACCTTGCTAGGAAATCAGACTCCAATGTAGATATATGAATCCAATGCTCTTTGAGATAGTTCAAAGAGATGTCCACTAGGTATAGGTTCAACAAGAAAAGTCATATGGAAAATTATGGATAACAATTACATGCCTGGGTAACAATCTTTTGAAATCGAAGCAGCACCAGGAAATTATAAGCTATTGAAGTTTCCAAAAAGAAGCAGATGAAGAAGAAATAAGAGAGCTTTTGGACTTAGTAGCCATTGCAGAGATATACTTCGGAAATGATAATTAGTAGCTGGAAGATGAAGAAGAGAATATGGAGGCGTACATGTTGACCAACAACAAGAAAGAAAAGCGCCGATGGTTGCTGCAAGTCAATGACAGGTGGAGAGTTGAGCAGAGTTTTGTGATTCTGCAAAGGGGGTAGGATGAAAAATATATTAGCAGAGAGGGGTAGGATCATAAGCTTGGACCGAAATATAGAACTCAGACTGGGAAAACCATTGATTTGGAGGCTCTCCATGATAAGATATGTGGATGTTACCCAAGGTGAACCTAAGTTCTCTTAAATCCTAGGTGCGTGTCATTGAAGTGTTACCCAAATGAGTTGAACCCCTGAAGAACTTAGGTTCACCCCAAACCAAGTAAGCTGTTATAGTAGTGGTGGTGGATTTGTTTTTGGACTACTTTACTTTGAAAGATGGGATTTGGTGGGTCTCTTTTTATAGTTTTTTAATTAAAAGAGAAAAACATTAATTGGTCATAGATAATAATAGTATAATACTCGTAATACCAAGTATTTTAGTAGTTGGTCTCTTTTCAAAATCGGAAATGAGAACACCAATTTGGAACAACTTAAAATGGAAAGTGAGAACACTAATATTGAACAAAGGGAGAAGATATTAGTATTAATTGCTTGAGAAAGTCAAATAAATCTTCTGTTCACTCTTATGATCTAACCTTTTCTTCCTTTGCATGCTCTTGGTTTTAGGGAACATCTTCAACCATCAGATACGAGCCATTCTTGTCTAGAGAAATTTCAAAAACAAACATATTACTTGTAGAGGGATATCTTTTTGAACTCCCTGATACAGTGAAAACAATAGCAAAAGCATGTGATAATGCCCGTAGGTCTGGTGCATTGGTTGCCATCACAGCTTCTGATGTGTCTTGCATCGAAAGGCACTATGATGATTTCTGGTAAGCCATCGGTTTTGGATCCTCCTAATTTAGATGTTGGTATAGCGGGTGTTGAGCTTTGACTCAACAGTAAGGTTGCTCCTTTGTAGCAAGTTGGTCCACAACTTTTTATTGAACTTGGTTTTGTCCTCATCTAAGAAAATTGGTCCGAATTTAGTACTTATACATTTTTGGTTCTAAATGAGAGGAGTTTTCTTCTGTTCACTGAATATGGATCCAATTGTGGGTCTATCCTCAACATATACAAAAATAGACTTCTTAATAAGGGCAAAATATCCATGGGGACTAGATTGCTTAATGGATGACCAAATTGAGTTATAGTGCATATTGTCAAGAGACCAACTCAAGTAATAACTCTTATCTGATGTATATCACTATATTGATATTTTTGAGCAGGCAAATATTTGCAAACTTTGGGGACATTGTGTTTGCGAATAGTGATGAAGCGAGAGCTTTGTGTCAATTTAAGTCAAACGAATGCCCCATTTCTGCTGCAAGGTACCTAAGCCATTTCGTTCCATTAGTATCAGTTACGGATGGTCCAAGAGGCTCCTACATTGGTGTAAAAGGGGAAGCCATTTTCATTCCTCCTTCCCCATGTGTGCCCTTTGATACTTGTGGTGCAGGTGATGCTTATGCATCTGGCATTTTGTATGGCATGCTTCGCGGTGTATCCAACCTTAAGGGTCTGGGTACCCTTGCTGCCAAGGTTGCATCTGTAGTTGTAGGGCAGCAAGGTACCCGGCTTAGGGTACAGGATGCCACTGGTTTGGCAGAATCATTCGAATACCAGTGTAAGAATTCGTCTATTTGTTGGTCTGCTGATATTGGTTCTGATCAAATATCTAGCTTGTGACACTAGGCAATTAGACATACCTCATCCCTTTTGATTATGTGAATATGATTTCAGTTGTGGCTCCAAACATCTGTAAACCTCTCAACTCATTGTAATTATTTACTAGAAATTGCAAGATCACTCACCACGGTGGAAACGAAGTTGTCTAGGTTGAAAATGTATCCATTGATATCTTTGATGCGATGTTGTCGTTATGGATGAAAAACAAATGGACAGGAAACTTTGAGTTGCAGACAGTTCCTTCAATGCATTTTGGAACATTATAACAAGCCAGTCTCATATATTTTGTACACATAGAATCAACAGGACATATTGACATATAGCATGATTAATGGTTATGAAAGCACATTCAAGAGGTCGATAATACATGATGCATACCAGTGTAAAATTTATTACATGCGTTGATGCTTCAACATACATCATAACAGTATTTCCATAAATAAAGATAAGTGATGATCGTAATTTTTTGGGTAACAAACCTTTCTAATGAAGGGTTAGTTTTCTCTTTGAGTGTCTTGTCTCTTGAGGAGTGGACGAAGGGATTAACTAATTTTTCTAATTAGGCGAAGATTTGGACAATTTATAGTCTTCTCGAATAAAAAATAAAGGGCAGTGTAAAAGAATAAATAATTTCACATAATATGAGTAATGTTGTAATGCCTTGAATCTGACCAGTTACAGCAGGGAGATGTCCGCATTCGGAGAAGTCCGACATCCGGAGAAGTCCGAATTCCGAGAGGTCCGAATTCCGAGAAGTCCGAATCCTGAGATGACCGAATCCAACTCTATTTTGGGCTTCTAATTATCTATTAATTTTGTAGTTTTGGGCCTAAGTCTGTTAGGGTTTAGCTAAGCACTATATGTATGGGTGCTACCACAAACCCTATGTGCGGTATTCTGTTTTTGCCTCTCCGTCCGTAATAAAACTGCTCTCCCTCTTCCCGTGGACGTAGCCAACACAACGTTGGTGAACCACGTTAGATCTGTTGTCGTGTTTTTCTCGTTTATACTTATTATTCTCGATTTCCGCATAATAAATTGGTATCGGAGCCAGGTTAATCGGTGTTCTTGGAGAATTTCGAGATGTCTGCTTTGAACGTGAAAATCGACAAATTCACGGGGAGGAATGGTTTCAGTTTATGGCAGATTAAGATGCGGGCTTTGTTGAAACAACAAGGCTTCTGGGCACCGTTGTCGAAAGACAAAAATGTCGTCGCTACTCCTGAGATGGCGACTCTGGAAGAAAAGGCACACTCGACGATCATGCTGTGTCTGTCAGATGACGTTATCACGGAGGTCTCAGACGAGGAGACTGTTGTTGGCTTGTGGTTAAAGTTGGAGAGTCTGTACATGACGAAATCTTTAACCAACAAGCTACTTCTGAAACAACGTCTATTCGGCTTGCGAATGGCTGAAGGTACACCACTCAGGGAACATTTAGAGCAATTAAATACTTTGTTATTAGAATTGCGTAATATCAATGTGAAGATCGAGGATGAAGATGCTGCCCTGATTCTGTTGGTATCTCTCCCAATATCGTTTGAGAATTTTGTTCAATCGTTCATTGTTGGGAAAGATACTATGTCTCTGGAAGAAGTTAGATCGGCCCTTCATAGCAGGGAAGGCTAACGGCACGAGTACAGATGTACAACCTTCCGGCCTATTCACCAGTACTGGAAAGGAAAAGAAATACGGCGGAAAGAAGAAGGAGAGAAAGTCGTCGTCAAAGGGTGTAAAGTCGGATGATGTCTGTAATTACTACAAGGAGAAGGGGCATTGGAAATTTGATTGTCCAAAGAAGAAGAAGCAATCCGAAAAACAATCAGTTTCTGCTGCTGTTGCTGAAGAAGACACCAATTCTGAAGAAGACATTGCCTTAGTTGTTGATGAAAACACTCATCATTCAGATGTGTGGGTTCTAGATTCTGGGGCATCCTACCATATCTGTCCAAGGAGAGAGTGGTTCACGAGTTTGAACAAGTAGACGGAGGGAGCATCTCGATGGCCAACAGCTCTGTCTGCAAGGTGGTTGGGACAGGCTCGATCAAGATAAGGACACACGATGGTAGCCTCTGCACATTGAACGAGGTCAGGCACGTACCATTGATGACAAAGAATCAGATATCTCTTAGTCTTTTGGACAGCAAGGGGTTCAGTTGGTTAGGAAAAGATGGAGTTTTGCGCGTCTAGAAGGGTTCAAATCTGATTCTGAAAGGTGTCATGCGGGGTACTTTGTATTTTCTACAAGGTTCCACGATTATAGCTTCAGTCCATGTTGCATCATCAGAAGTTAAACAGGAAGATATGACCAAGTTGTGGCATATGAGACTTGGTCATATGGGTGAAAATGGGATGCAAATTCTGTCAAAGGAGGATCTTCTTGCCGATCATAAGGTAAAAGGCCTAGACTTCTATGAACATTGTGTTTTTGGAAAACTACATCGCAAGAAGTTTCCAAAGGCCATTCATAGAACAAAAGGCACACTTGATTACATCCATTCTGGTTGCTGGGGTCCATGCCGAGTTGAGTCTCTGGGAGAATGCAGATTTTTTGTGTCAATTATTGATGATTACTCAAGGATGACTTGGGTGTACATGATGAAGCATAAAAGTGAAGCTCTCCAGAAGTTCAAGGAGTGGAAAACATTAATGGAAAATCAAACAGGGAAGAAGATCAAGAGGTTGCGAACTGATAATGGGCTGGAATTCTGTTGGTCTAAATTTGACAAGTTCTGTAAGGATGAAGGGATTTCTCGACATCGTACCGTCAGAAATACACCACAACAGAACGGTGCAGCTGAGCGGATGAATCAAACACTTCTGGAGAGAGAAAGATGCATGCTCTCTAATGCTGGGCTAGACAGAAGGTTCTGGGCAGAAGTGGTTAGTACAACTTGCTACTTGATAAACCGCGGACCACACACAGGCATACAGTGCAAGACACATATGGAGATGTGGTCAGGAAAAGCTGCAGATTATTCAAACCTGAGAGCTTTTGGCTGTACAGCTTACTATCATGTCAGTGAAGGTAAGCTAGAACCACGAGCTAAAAAGGGAGTATTTGTGGGCTACGGAGATGGAGTGAAAGGTTTTAGAATCTGGTCTCCGGCAGAAAAGAGGGTTATTCTGAGCAGAAACGTTGTCTTTGATGAAAGTTCTTTGTTTAGAACCATTGTGAAGCCAACAACTACGATAGAAATTGATAGTCTTGATAAACAGGTGGAGCTTCAAGTCATTCAGAACGAGAGTGATATGAAAGAACCTGAAGAGGAGAATCAAGAGCCACAAACAGAAACTGATTTTCTAGAGTCTATGCCATCAGATACCCTTCGTAGTGTAGCTCAAGATCGACCAAGAAGGGTTGGAGTTCGACCACCTACGAGGTGTGGTTTTGAGGACATGGCGGGTTATGCACTGCAGGTCGCTGAAGAGGTGGATACTTCTGAACCATCTACTTACAGAGAAACTGTTTTAAGTTCTGATTCTGAAAAATGGTTAGCCGCTATGGGAGATGAGATTGAGTCTTTGCATAAGAATCAAACATGGGATCTTGTCATACAGCCTCCGGGGAGAAAGATTATCACTTGCAAATGGGTTTTCAAGAAGAAGGAAAGAATATCACCAGCAGAAGGGGTCAGGTATAAAGCCAGGGTCGTTGCGAGAGGTCTCAACCAAAGAGAGGGAGTGGACTACAATGAGATTTTCTCACCTGTGGTCAGACATACTTCCATCCGCGTGTTACTAGCGATAGTTGCACATCAAAATTTGGAGCTCGAACAACTTGATGTGAAGACAGCTTTTCTACATGGAGAGTTAGAGGAAGAGATATACATGACTCAGCTAGATGGTTTCCAAGTCCCAAGGAAGGAAAGTCACGTTTTCAAGTTGAAGAAGTCCTTATACGGACTTAAGCAGTCCCCAAGGCAGTGGTACAAAAGATTTGATAGCTATATGGTGAAGTTGGCTATACTCGAAGCTCCTATGATTGTTGTGTCTACTACAATAGACTCAAAGATAATTCATTCATCTATCTGGTGCTTTATGTAGATGATATGTTGATAGCTGCAAAGCAGAAGTATGACGTCCAGAAGTTGAAGGGTTTACTTAGTGCTGAGTTTGAGATGAAGGATCTCGGAGCCGCTGGAAAGATTTTAGGGATGGAGATCATTAGTGACAGAGAGTGTAACGCCCCGAAACATACCCTAGAATTATTATTAAATAATTATTCGATTAAACAAATTTGTTTTGATTATTATTGGGCTTTGGGCCGATATGAAATATATTTTTTTTATATCCAATATCAAAATCTGGATAAGTCTAATCGAGATAAATCCAATATGTGGACTATTTGTGTGGTCTTGATTGGGAACCTGAGTACAGACCCAAATCAAGAATAAATAAATTAATTAATTATGATGTGAACTTTGTAATGATTTATTGAAATAAATCATGAGAATAATTGATATGAATTAAATGAGAGAACCTTTTAAGAGAAAGGTCAATTAAACCAATTTTGACTCTGTTAAAGTCAAACACCCAAAAATATGATGTCGGAAAAAGTATTACAAATAATTATGAAAAGTATATCGTTGGATAGAGCTCGACTGTCTGATCGCAACGGTGCAAACGGATTTCAATTTGGAGAAAGTTGGACCAAAAAGTGTACCTCGACTGGAACCAAAATAGGTCCCAATCAGGGACACTGTGCGAACGGCGCCTCCTTCCCCACTACGCCGATCACAGAGTCACCATAGTTGTTCTCTTCTTCTCTCCTTCTCATTATATAAGAAAACCCAACCTTCTCATTTCTTCACCATTCTTCTTCATTCTTCTTCCATTGTGTTCTTGAGAGTGTAAGGAATATTGTGGTGCTGCCAATTTGGTGTGAGGTCGCCGGAGTTGAGAGTAATCATCGCCGGAAGTTTCACCGGAAAATATCCAAAACCTTCGTTAAGCTTCAATGTAAGCTCCTAGATATATCTAAGGACTAGAATGTTCATATAGGTCGTTTCTACGTTCATAAATGGTCATTTGG